CCTCAGGTCATAAGATACAGCAGTGGCACAGGGTGGTTGCAGGGCACCCCTCAGGTCAAAAGATACAGCACAAGCACAGGATGGTTGCGTGGCACCCCTCAGGTCATAAGATACAGCAGTGGCACAGGGTGGTTGTGTGGCATCCCTCAGGTCATAAGATACAGCAGTAGCACAGGGTGGTTGCATGGCATCCCTCAGGTTCAAAGATACAGCAGTGGCACAGGATGGTTGTGGGGCACCCCTCAGGTCCAAAGATACAGCAAAGGCACAGTCAGGATGGAGTTAATGGGTTGATTGATTAGTCAAGATGAAGCTGGTAGGGTTGATTGTTTAGTCGGGGATAGTGGGTTGATTGCTGGGTCTGGATGAAGCTAGTGGGTTGATTGCTTAGTCTTGATGGAGATAGTGGGCTGATATCTTAGTAATGATGAACCTAGTGGGTTGATTGCTTAGTCAGGATGGGGATAGTGGGTTGATTGCTTAGACAGGATGGAGATAGTGGGTTGGTTGCTTAGTTGGGATGGTGAAAGTGGGTTGATTGCTTAGACAGGATGGAGATAGTGGGTTGGTTGCTTAGTTGGGATGGTGAAAGTGGGTTGATTGCTTAGGCAGGATGGAGATAGTGGGTTGATTGCTAGGTGTGGATGAAGCTAGTGGGTTGATTGCTTAGCCAGAATGGGGATAGTGGGTTGATTGCATAGCCAGGATGGGGATAGTAGGTTGATTGCATAGCCAGGATGGGGATAGTGGGTTGTATAGTCAGACAAAATCTAAGCTTTAGTATCCATAGCCATAGTCTTCCAGGTAAAAACAAATGATTGCAACTGTACAGAAGGTAGGCAAGGAACATGTTGAAATGATCCTATCCAGGCTGGGTCTTTTACACACAGAGATAGTGGAGACAGGCGCCCTCTATGGCACATCATGCAAATTATACCTTTACAAAGGATTTGTGTATATTTGGGAGTGAACCCATTTGTTTGTTGCTATAGCAACTAACATGCACATATATAACATTATGTATGATTTTATAACACAGAAATTTTTCGTTGCAAGTTTGTAGTGATTGATTTTTACCACTAAAATTTATGTCCACCAGCCAGCCATCTTATGTTGTCATGTCTTGTCAGTAATTCTAAAAACATTGACAATGCCAGAAGATTCATTTAAAAGCCGTCCCAGTGATCATTACTCACCTTGCAAAGTAACATAGTTCCCATCACAAATGGATTGAATACAGTTAAAAAACAGTAAACTGATGCAGGATCAAAACTGTAACAGATAAAATCAGTTGACCATTTTAAATCAAATCAAACTGTAAAACTTAACGACATGCAACAGTAAATTGCAAGGTATTTGTGTAAATCTAAGAGTACATACACTAAAATTATAGATTTTGTTTATGCTTTGACCATTTCTGTCATTCCTGTCTGAAGTCAAGTGACAAAAATCACAAGTCCAAGATTGACTAATTACAATAAATTCTTTGATATTTGCATTAATTGTCCATTGTTTTATTATCACTCCTCCAAATTTGTCATCTTTCACAAAATATTTGTTCATACATTTTGAACAAGTCCTGTTGCCAATGGGGAATGATATCTATGACAAAATTTAAACAAATTATTGAAAAACACATTAAAATATGAAATATGTTGTCACAATTTCGGAGGTGGCATTTTAAAGTGTGTGAGCTAGAATCAGTAGTGAATGACATTTGTTTCAAAAGAAATGAATTGATGTAAAAAACATTCTGTATAGAAGATCTCTTGTGAAATATGTGAAGATCAAACTGGAAAGGTGACTGACCTGTTAATGCTAGCAATGTTACCAGTGCCAAAAAAACTAGTGAGAACAAAGAAGACAAAGAAAAATCCTCTTCGGACATCAGCAAGTTGCAAATAGCGTGGGTTGGTTTCTTCAATGATACGCACTTCATCAAATGTCATGGTATGTAACTAGTCAGAAAACAAAAATACTGTTAGTATGGATTATTGAAAGGATCACTTGGTGTGACCACAATTGACCTTCGGTGATATCTGTTGACCTTTAGCGCCTGCAAGTGATACCAAATAATGATTTACGTGTAGCCCAAGAGAAAACATGTAATTGCATTATACCATTTGAACAGGAACGTGGCTCTAAAACTGCATTCACTAAAACATAATGACTACCAGTAGACCATTTTGAATCTGATCTGACAAACAAAGTGACGAACATTAACTAAGATCCCATGTCCCATGGAGATTTGGACCATAAAAAGCAGAAATGTTCGATCTTGATGACAAACAATCGTAGTTCACTCATCTTGAATTTGATAACCAAATGAATAAATATGCAAACGTGTGATGTATATGTGAAGCTTGAACATGATCTGACTGGACACGTTGGCAAGATAGCCCAACAACTGCATTCATTAAAACAAAATGACCACTAGTCAGCCATTTTCAATACAATCTGAATCAAAGAAAGCTTAGAAAGAACTCCTGTGTGCTGAGAGTATTGAAGACACATTAAAAATTAATTCAAAATTACTA